TGACCACAACTGCGGCGTGTACTTACATCCGATAACGAGTTGTGATTTATATCACGACGAAATTTGATTGAAAGATTTAGCAAGCAAATAATTACCTTGCGCACTCTACAGCAACTTAAGGTAGCAAGAGGAGAAACACAGGTACCGGTAATACACAATATAATGTTCCATAATCCAAATTTATTTGAAAAATGTTTTGGTTTTTTTCTAGTTTTTCCCCTCTTGCTTACTTTATTTTATCTACATAAATACAAAATGTCGAGTGTACGCTGTCATTTGCACATTACAAATGCATTACATGCAACATGACATTGAAATGACCGTTCTAATACATATATTTGCACGCGAGATCCTTTATTGAAACAGGTCAGTCGTTAGAGGGTCTACCTGCTATGATTGATGTCGTGAATTCGAACCCCAACATAGGCCCACTTTTTCAATAGTTGAGGAAGAACTCTATCTTTTTGTCAACTTGAGACATTCCTGTACTATAAACCTGTACAATCCTAGACAAGGTGCAAGGTCTGATTCACAAAAGCAGTTTACAAGTTATGTTCAGTAAAGTATAACACTGCATGTGACGATAACAGTAACGTAAGACATATGGAAATTTACAGGAATAAACATAGTGTCAGAAAGGGTCACATGACCAAATGCAGTATAAAAATGAATATATTTTAAAAATTAGCATACACATTTCTTCTAAGTCATTGTGGAATACAACATTTCGCATATTCGTTATTTTTATTGAAATTTCATTGATTTATATGTATTTGCATGGTAAACTAACAGTGTTGGTATTTTCAGCCATTAGAGTTAACATTTATTAACACAGGGAGAGAACACATCTCACTATAACATAGTTACAATTTTTGAACCAATGAGCATTGAGTGGGGGCATTTCGAGTACCCTTTCCTGAATAACAGCGAGGTAATGATGTATATAAGCCCATCTGAAATGTACTTTCTTGCTGTTCCTGTCTTCATAACGAAGGTGTTCAAAGTTGGAATACAAAACTCCATCAAATGTACGCTGATTGTCAACATTTATTCTCAATCACTGAATCCTATACAAACTAATCATTTTCTTTCCACAAAAGAATAGTTCAGTTCCGTCTGATTACACAGACAGTCTGTGTTATCAGCATGGAAAACATCACAAGATTGACAAAAGGTTTATGGGCAATAGTTGCCTGCATCCATCCATTCTTTATCAGATCTCAGACAACCAATAATTAATTATTAGTCGTCTGAGATAAGATCCAGACCTCACTCTTTACACGACTCACATTCGTTCCAGGCAGTAATTACTTATTATGAATGCACCACACTTGTATTGTACAACTAGCTTTTTTATTCATTTCATTAGCGAAATAAATTTTAAGTGATAAAATGTATATTTATTATTACCAGTAATTATATATTAGTTTACATGTGTAATCCTTACTCTGATTTGAAGCTATGACAATCTGTACAAGCGCTTATAATTGAAAAAAAGCCTATATTGGTCTGGCAAAATTGTTAAGCAAATTTAAATGTTTTTAACTATATTATTTATAAAATGTACAAAATGACAATATATTATTGTAAATGAGCATTCATACCAAGTCCAGTATAATTACAATTAATGAAAAAAAAATTAAAAAAATCTGGTGGGAAAGAATTGTGGACGAATTAATTGCAAATATTGTACATGTGGTGATATTAAAATAAACATTGTTTATTGTGAATGCATTAATTATTCACTTGATTTTAATTTAGCAATTTTTGCTGATAAGTGAAGTCCGCTGAATTAAATCTGCATGAACAAGTAAAATTACAATAGAACTCATTTGTTTCCTTTACGAACATTTGAATTAGAAACCCTGTGAGTAAACAGTGAAATTAAATACATGTGAACATTAATGCTTTTACAATTCAATTCAATTCAATTATGTCATTTTTACCAAAATAAATTGTTCAAACAATTTGGTCCCAAAATGTACTGTAAAACACATAAATAGCTACATGCCATTTTGCGAATTTGACTCAATGCATGAATTAACAAAATCTTAATTTAGCTAAAATGCCGACAATCTCATTGTGAGAATACACTATATTCTAAATTAGCAACATCTTGAATTAGCGAAATTACAGGTTAACTAAATTAGCTAAAATGTAATGCTAACTAAAAAGATGTGTTTTACAGTATGGCCTGGAAAAAGTATTACACCAAATAGCACAACTAGTACTATGTTTGCACTTATATAGAAGTTTGAAAACAATCTATTATAACTAAATTATGAACCAAAACCAGACATATGGACATTGGTTAAATTAAAATAACTGTGAACATTTAGTACATTACTATCAAAATCCAGAAGGAAATGAAAAGAAATTGGTTAATCCCATGAAATAAATAACATATATTGCAACTGGCTGATATTACCCTTCTACCACCCTGTATCTTATGTCTATAAGCAAATAGATAATCTTTATTACAATAGCAATCACTCTTAATACAAAAAAATACCTTGTTATATAAAGAGTTTCCTGTTCATAAGTAAGTTAAACTGAAGCACTGCTAGCATTTACATATTGCACTGAAGCTAAAATAAAAATCCAATAAATGGACTACGCCCTCTATAGTCCTATTAGGTGATTTCAATGAATTGTGAAGAAAAAAAAAGAAACTTCTTTTTTATTACATCTTATTTTTCTAAAATTATTTGACAATCATAGCTCTGTTATTTATCGGAGTAACAAACACACAGCAAGTTTAACATGTTATATACTGGACTTGAGTAATTTGATTGGGTTACAAGACACAATTCAAATTGGTATCAAGGCCCGAGGTCACATTCGCACCACTGATGTAATCCACTTTATTTTGAAAACAACTTTTTGCAAGGGTTGACATTGTTGTTTTTCAAACTGTTTTATTTACCAATTGCTGAAAGCTTCCATAGATAGTCAAAAGTTACCGATATCTATTGTATAAATAAAGCTCCAGCAGATAATGACATAAGAATATGCAGAATAGGGCAAGTCGTATTGCCAATTCAACATAATGCACTACTTGATTTAAACATAGTTGAACTCTGGTGACCTTGCCCTTTGTTATATAATATAATTCCCTTTATCATAGTTTGTTTCAATATAAATATGCATTGTCATAATTAATTTTGAATACAAACAAGTTTTGGGGTTGAACCAACAGTGGGGAATCAGTCTACCGAATATCCTTAAAAGATGTAAATATCTTACAAAAACATTGGTGCCTTATTTGTTTAATTATTTTAAGGGACATAATTTCCAGCTTTCTTCAAAGTAATTCAGATATTTTAGTATAAAAACAAATGTCTCATTGAAAAAAAAAAAGTGCTGCATTTAGATGTGAATAGATTCATAAAACATGCAAGATAACAGAAAATTTTAGCTGGCTTTAGTCCAAGTATTTTGTACAGGTGTCTGTCAAAAATTAATGATTCACCGAGACAAATATGAACTGCCTCATTGTGTGACTACTGTATTATATGAAAAGTAAAAAAAACACCCTTTATGAATAGCTATCATGTTGCAAGCTCTGCTTTGTATGCAAATCAACTTACTGTGGAATACTTTATTTTCACTGGAATTAATTTTCGCTGAAAAGGCTTTTTAGGCATTCTTTATGCAATTTATTTTCACTGATTTTTGATGAGTTGAATGTGAAATATAGGAAAAAAAGTATATTCGCTGGATTTTATTTTCACGGAATCATCCCTTCAGTGAAAATAGCGAAAATAAATTCCAAGCGAAAATAAAGTATTCTACAGTAAATAGTTAGTTGGTGTCCAGTGGAAGGAGAAGTCAACAGTACTGGTGCCTCCTGAGAATCTACATCTTCAAACACTGCAATCTTTGAAGTGCGTTTTTAAACTAGTATTATAAAAACTCTATCATTCTGTTCTAATAGCTGAAACATATTCCTGTGAGTTTTCATTTGTCGAATGAACTGTTTGTCAAATACAGAATACATATATTTTAGAATAATTTTCTTTTTAAAATGTGGATGAAATGTTTTGCTTTTAATGTATTTTTATGTATTGTTTTTGATTTGATAACTTTGAACTAAACAGATTTTCTATTAGCTTTAGATCTTGATCAAAGTTAGGCACCCAGTTCATAGGAGTGCTTATATTGATTTTCTGACATCTTGTTTTCTGTAAAGATTTTATGGTAGGTTTGCAAATGTGTATCAGACTGTGCAATCTCTCCATGAGTTGGTTTTGA